GGGGGGGGGGGGGACGTGGCATTACTTGAATGGATGCACGTCGAGTTTTAAACTAAGATCTTTTTGGTCAAACCTTAAAAATAACGTTCTGCACGTTCTCATGCGATATATAAAGCTGTCACGCTCAAGAGTATGTGTTTGGAGTTACTCAGCTGCTACACCAAATTTTATCTCACTGTCAGTAAATTTTGAGTTCCAGCCGAAGTTTCAATGAAATCCATCCAGTGGTTCATTAGATATTTTGCTAACAGGCAAAACGGGGTTGCTCCAAGAGGTATTTCTACAGTTTCAAGCAAAGATCTCATTCTATAACCTGGGAGTATAATGGGATGACCCTCGGCTACTACCACTCCAAATTTTAAAATATTTGTAAAAATCAATATAATCAATAAAAAAAATCTATAATCAATTATTGATGTACATCCCCTGATTATTTTCTAAAGCTTTCATAAAATTCCATGCAGTGGCTCGAGATATTTAGCCAACATTGTGACTCCTGACAATAGTGAAATTTTTAAATGAAGGGTTCCCAACCCTGGTCCTTGAGGGACACCGTCCTGCATGTTTTAGTTAGGTGTGTTGGAGCAGCGGAAACTGAGTCAGTGACTTAATTACTTCCTCATGTTCTGTAGAAGCCTGTTAATCACCCATTTATTAAAATCAGGTGTGGCGGAGCAGAGAAACAAAACATGCAGGATGGCGTTCCTCAAGGACCAGGGTTGGGAACCCCTGAAGGTACAGTCTTGGGTATTACCCCACCAAATTTTAGACGGATGTCTGTCAAATTGACATAATAGTAATCACTTTTGTGCTTTTCAAGTTCCGTTAGCTGTGGCAGCCATCTTTAATTAGTTTAACTCCGAAAGTTAATCAGTTGTAGACGTCCAACCATTACTTTTTGCAAGTTTCATTGCAATTCACCCAGTGCTGCTTTAAATATTTTGCTAACCGACCCGAGAAATATTAAATCAGGCAGTGAGACTGGTGTAGTTCTTATTAACTTGACAAAAATGGCAACTAAAGTGACGATTATGTGAAGTGACAGCACCCAGACATTGTGATCTAAAAGTTTGGGAGGAAAAATGTTGCAGAGCATTGAGCCTGGCGAACGGGGAGGAGGAGGGGAAAAATGCTGTAAAGCAGGTTGTCGCCGCAGCTGTTCGAGCTGCATCAACAGTAACTTCCTGCTTTTAAAGGTCAGGGCTGCAAATAGGTGGGACCTGAGGTGGGGAAGTGATGGAAGGATTGTTATTAAAAGATCAACTGTGGGCCGCACTTCAAACTAGAAACTAACCAAACCTCTGTTTTTTTTTTTGTTTTTTTTAAATAGAAAAATCATCCAGTCTGACTTTTAAAACAATTTTTTTGAGCTGAAAGGAACCCTGACCGTACGCTAACCCATCAGGGTTGCATGCCAAGTAGTAGCTGCTGTATAATCGAGGCATTCTCTTCATGAAATGAGCTCAAAGGAAGGAAAAGGCTACCTGCCCGGGAGGGAGGAGAGAGCGCAAGGCTTCGGGTAGATGAGCCCACTCTGCTCGCAAGCTGGTCCCCGAATGAAAGAGTAACAGGATTAACAACCATGTCTCTGATAGAAGAGCAGAGTGGCCAAAGCATGGCCCAGAGTCTCTTGATAAAATATGAATTAAACATATATATTTGGAAGGAAAAAAAATAGAAAGATGTTCCACCCCTGGAGGCTGCAGTAACATAATCCCCCCCTTCCACCCCCTGCTCTATTAGGACTCAGTACCCGGTTTCTTTGGTGTTGATAGAGACATCAAAGCCAAACCGACGCAGCGTCAAATGAGACGGGCAGCAGTCGCCGGGCCTCGGCTGTAACTGGCTGAACTTAGAAGGGAGGGTAGGACTCCGGTAGATTAATAATGAATGTGCTGTGCTGGGTTTAGAGAAAGAGAGAGGGAGGTCTCGGATCTCCACAGGCAAAATGGAAGGAGCTCTGACTTAAGGAGAGCTGGAGTCTACATCACCTTATCGCCCAAAAGAAACTTCACAGCACCTGAAACTCGAAACTGAACCAACAGGGCTTTGTTTCTTTTGTACCTTCAAAGCTTTGCTTCTTCAGAAAGTTCGAGAGTTCTGCACCTCCAAACATGAGACAACGATGGACTCGTAGAAATGTGTACTTTTTGACAAGATGGCTTGGTGGTTGGCACAATTGCCTCACAGCAAGAAGGTCATGGACTCAATCCCTGTGGATGGAGTTTCATAGTCGCCTTGAGTTGCATGTGTTTTCTCTTGGTTCTCATTTTTTTTCCCCACAGCTCAAAATATACAGTAGTCCCTCGATTATCACAGGGGTTACGTCCCAGACACCACTGCGATAGGTGAAAAAACGTGAAGTAGGAACGCTATATTTATTTTATTATATATATATATTAAAGTTTTACAAACCCCACACTCTTGCAATGTTCTAAACTCTTAAACTTATGCAATTTTAACAACATATGCAACATTTTATATGGGTACTCACTAGCTCTGCATAACGGCAGCTCGGACCCGGTTCGGCAGATTTATCCTTCAGCGACGAAGCCCCCCCGCCCCGTCCAGGTTAATGTGTGTGTGTGGATAATTGAGCTTCAGGAAGCTCCAGGATTATTTGCGACTTTCCTGCCAGTTCTCTGAGCTTCGTAGATAGAGCGTTGTTTCTGACTTTGTGTTGCAAAACTATCCCTTCATTTCGACAGAAAGCAGCAGCCAGAAGCACTGTCCGCTTCTGGGTAGTGTGTGTGTGCTGGGTGAGTGGGGTCCTTCATGATGCAGGTGGCCCTCTTCCTGCATCTGGAGGTGTAGATGTCTGTGATGGTGGGGAGGCTGACTCCAACAGTCTTCTGTGCAGCCTTCATGCCACGTGTTGATGCTGGAGCACAGGATCCTCTCCACTGCACACCTGTAGAAGGACTGAGCTTCCCAGAACAGCTCGTCTCAGTTGCCTGAGGAAGTAGAGTCTCTGATGAGCTTTCTGTGCTCTTGTGAATGACTCTCAGCTACTACCACATCAAATCTTAGCTCTGTATCTGTAAAACTGACAGTTCTATGCCATGGTTTTGTTGGCTAATGTTGGCTAGCTTTGGTGTCCATCTTAGATTATTTTGTAGTCAGTTCTATACATTTAACAATTACTTTCTGAAAGCATGTGGTTAATGATATTTTGCTAACAAACCTTGGAAAAAACATCTGCTAATAAGGGCATAAAGTGTCTAAATTTCACCTGGAGGACGTGTGGCGCTCCAAAGATAAAATCGTCTCCAGTTCCAACAGCACTAGAGAAATGTTCTTCAATAAAGCCTTTCTGTTTGTGTTTTAGCATAAGTGTTTCATTTACATACATTTTATAAACTGTCTAAGCGCGCACATCTTTCTCATAAAGGCCTTTTGATGTGTGCCGGCTGGGGAAGTACAACTGATGCAAATTTCTTAAGAGACTCGGTTCTGCTCAGTACTGGTTTGTCTCGTTTGTCCATCACATACCTTGTCCTCTCCTTTTTCCTCTTGTTCTCGTGCTTGGGAGGGACTCTGATTTCAGAAATAATTGGATAAATTCCATTTTCTAAAAAAAAAAATGGAACCTGAATGCTGTACGACAGCTGAGATTTGTTAAAGAACAAATTATCAACTGAGTTTTGGATGTTACAATAAGCAGAACACAAAGAAAAATTAGAATAACTGTAGAGGCTAAAACTACCAAAACTGTAGCTATAAACTAAAATTAGTGCATTTCTAATTGTAGCAAAACCACAGAAAAGCTACAATTATTATTTTTTTCATTGGCAAAATTATAGCTACAAGCTAAACGTAGCAAAATAATTGCAACAAGCTAAATGTAGCAATGCAATAGCTCAAATTGATAAAACTATAGATAAAAATTAAAATCAACAAGATCCTAACTAAAACCTACAGTTGACCAAATGTTATCTAAATCTAAATATAGAAAAAAAAAGCAGCTATAAGCCAAAATGAGCAAAACAGTATTTAAAAGCTAAATGAAGCACACCACAGATAAAACAAAAATTAGCTAAACATTAGCTAAAATTGTCAAAATGGCTAAAAGGGTGGCAAAATCCAAGCCAAAAGCCAAATGTAGTAAAATCTCTGCTTAAAGCAAAACATA